AATACTCTCAGACTAAGGCCAATTCACCTGTAAAATTTTACATTTTATTTACTATAATAATAATAATTACTTTTTCAAAAAAAAACTCGTTTTACCCTCGCAACTAATTAAGTTATTATAAAAGGGATCCCATTTCTTGGAAAAATGTTGGTATTTTTATTTGTCACGAAAACTGGTTATTAATGGAGAAAGGGTTCTTTTACATGAAAAAGGTTTCTTACAACTTGATATTTCAACCTTCACACCCAAGGTGTGTTCCGGTTGCATCAATATAAAAATGTATTTACTTATAAAGAATGTATTTTGAAATATATATGTCTATTGCAATTTTTCATTACTTGATTTAAGAGCACAATGAGAAATAAATACTTTCAGTACAATTTTTTTTTCTTTTAAGCGTACGATGAATAAAATTTGTGAATATAATTGAAGGTCAACGAGGCTGCTGGGTCTTGAGTTCAAGTTCAAGTACCAGACGATTAACTCGCGAGATATGACTCGACCAAAAGTCTCTCAATCCGGAATTGAATTTTCAATGAAAGTGATTTGAAAGTGAAACAAAAAGGACCAAACATTCTTGTAGGAATTTTTCGATATTTTTCTTCTCTGATCAGCCGATTTGTTTTGGATTTTTATTTTTAAACTGTGGTGAAAAGAAAAGATTCTTTTTAGAAATTATTTTTTAAAAATCTTTAGTTAATGGTAAAAAATATAAAAAATTATCACTATAAATAAATTTTAATTATTATTGTTAATTAAGTTTCATGTGAAAAGTGACATAAACTTATTAATATATGTATAGTTATTTTAAGCAATGAAAATTCGATTACACGTCTATACTTAAAAGAACGGCTACTACTACATAGCTTCGTGAGCTGTCTAACCTCCGGTTACGACACTGGTTATGGTCACCAGAGATCCATTGAATTGTCATCGTCAATTGACCTTGAGGAGGTAACTCCATCGAGTTGCAATGAAAGCGAAATCCAATGATCCTGGTTACCAAACCAACGTTGTCCTGTCTCGATCATTCGCATACTAGCAGTTTAACGACTCACTCTATATGGTCTCTCAGGAGCGTAATTTTTCAAATATGACTTTTATTAGATTCATTAAATTTATTTCTTTACAAATAAATTTTTCACTTTGTTCAGAAAATCATCTAAATGAAGCTATTATGAGATTTATAAAAATTGTTTTCATAGTTTCAAAACATAAATGTAAGCAAATTGAGTGTAATAAAAAATTTTAAAAAGATGTATAAATTATTGCTGAATATTAAAAATAAAAAAATTAAAGAAGAAATTAATTTCTAAGATAAATTATTTTGAAAACAAGTTTTAATGTAATTAAAATCATATGTATATATTTAACTGTAATGATCAAAAGATTGTCATAATTTTCTATTAATTTCTTGTCAATTATTTCCTGAAGAGGAAAAAAACTATTGTAGCTAACAAAAAAAAAAAAAAATATATAATAATTCCTATGAAATAATCTAATCATGAACATTGTAAATAATACGCAAATAATTCCATATATAGAAAAAAAAACACCAATGCAGAATTTAAAACACAATTTAAAAAATATACTGAAAAAATGAATTTTGAATAAAATAAATTTTTTTTCCAGTGTATTATTTTAAAAAAGTCTTTGCAAGAAAATTTTCTATTAAATTAATAGGAAATGTTTTATGTATTGTCATAAAATTGATTCTTTTATTTTATAAATTTAATCATCACGGGTCTAATATGTTTTAAGGTAATGAAATAATTCGTTATTCAAGTTTGGAATACGAAGCGAGTACACACATATCAGTGGTGTAAACTAGGCCGTAGACATTTCAAGGTCACAGTACAACGTAACTCAGGGTCAAGTTATTTACACTTAGTCGTTATTCTGTAAGGCATTCGACAACTTTCGCAAACTTTATGGTGTCAAATTCCTCCTTTGTTTTCGAATTAATTGACTTAATTCACAACTTCTTCTTCTTCTTCTTTTTTTTCTTTTTTTTTTTTCTTTTTAAATTTGACATTGACACTTTTCGCGATTTTGCAATTGTTATATAATTTCATTCCTGTGAATCCTCAAACACAATATTCTTGTCTGATAAATTACTAGATAAGTCATGTGTGTATGCGTGTCATAAAGAATGAAATTTTACTATACTATTTCAGTGGAATTCTATACAAAGTATTTAACAAATTATTTCAAATGACAATAAAGTTATAAAATAAAATTATAGTGTAATTTAATGTATATGGAAAATGATTTTAAATAGAAAGAAATTATTAGAATTCATTTAGTAGCTATTGTAATTGGTACAAACCATTTAGCATCATATGCAAAATAATTTGTAATTGGTATGATCCATTTAGCATCATTTATGATATATAATTTAATAGATACAGTAGATGTATATATTCAAGTTGAATTTTTGTAATATGTCAAGAAAAGAACCTAAAAACCTAATATTAATAATGATAAGAATCATTTATTAAATATTAAAGAAAGAAAAAAGTAGAAAACAATCCCTAGCAACATCTATAATTTTTAATTGACCCTTTTACACAATCTTAATAGAAAGTTAAATTTTGTAAATTCATCAGAGAAAAGATTTCGATACTACAAGTTTATCAGAACAAAAGAAGTGCTTTAATCTGAAAATTTTGCTCAACAACTTTGGTAGCTTTTTGCTCCGAGAGTATATACTACAGTGTAGATCTAATACTACACCGGAAGTTCAATAACCTTTGATGAACCATTTTTTTTCCCCATTCAGACAATGATTGAAACCACTTGTAACTAAATACAATATATAAAGAATTCAAAGTAATATAGTATTAATTTAATACTTTTTTTTTCTTAATGAAAAATGTTCATTTTAAATGAAGTTAGAAACATTAAAGCGAAATTAATGTCACGAGTGCATTTATCGTGCAGCAGCCTTGCCGAAGCATCAGCTCACAAACTATTAAGTAGTAATTACCACTCTTGCACAACTGACCGCAGATAATTATTAGTGGGATATTATACAGCAAAAATACGGAACTACAGTGTGCGAAAAGAAAAGCATACAATTGAAATATGCTCCTTTAAAACTAGACACTTTAAGTGTATGATTTGCAGAATTATTGCAATAGACATATACAAAAAAAATTACGTAAACTTTTGCATTTTTTTTTTTTTTTGCAAAGAGTGTGATATTTATTTTTAATATTTTTTAATGAAAAAAAAAAAAATGAAAAATTACTTAATTTATATGAAGTCTTTACAGAACACATCTGTGAGGCAGAAAATATATAATGAAAAGACGTCTAAAAACCTTAGAAACCTTTGCGACGTTAAGTAATGCGCCCTCGATCACGTATGCAGTAAGAGTTTATAGCCGCATAAGTCAACGACGCGCTTCAACAATCGCGACATAGTTGCACGATGCTAGGCGTAGGTGTTTGTAGCGTCATATAAAATTTTTTTTTCATAGACTTGTGTTTGTCTCGACAAGATGTGCAAAAAATTTCAACAAATCTGGAGAAAGTGATTTTTTGTACAAAAAAAATTCTATAAAGTGAATTTTAACAGAAAAAAAGCAATATATAGATAAAAATTTAATTTCCCTCCAAATTATTCGTTTTTAATTTAAAGACCGAACATATTTTTTTGTATCCCCTTTATTTGGAAATTTACTCTAAAATAAACATTTTATTTTTTTCATTTTTTTTGAATGTATATAAAAAATATATAATGCAAATTAATACAAAATGCAGTAAATATAAAAAGAAATGAACAAAAAAAGTTACATCATTTTGCAAGATTGTTAATATTTTTTTGCCAATCAATCTCAAAACTATTATAAATAAAGTGATTGAAAAAAAAAGTTTAACGTTTATGAGCATGTATAATTTTATGGTAATTTTTTTAAAACTTGTTTATAAAGAAAACGTTCTGTTTTGAAATAGTCACTAAAAAATTCAAGCTTGACTAAATTATCAATTAATTGCGAATAATTTTTTTAAAAAAAGTATTTATCATCGATTGCAATTTTTTTTTGGACAAAATAATTAACACTAAAAGTTCTCTAATATGAATTAATTATTTCTATAAATTGATTTGTATCAATTACTTAAATTTTTGTTATATGAGTTTTTTTTTATAGTTTTTGAACTAATATATTAGTAATACAAATTTTAAAATAATTTTAAAACAATTTCTTTTCCAAATTTCTTTTTTTAGTTATAGATAAAAGAAAAAAGAGTTATTTAAAATTGATTAAATGATTAAATTTTTATCTTGGCAATATTATTATTTTATGACTATAAATAATAGCTAGTCATCAATGTGACGTCTTACGTAAAGAATTTAAGTAGTACGATTATGATTGCCTGACTTACACTGACTGTATCTACTGTGAGATATGTCTGACTAGTAAACACAGTAGCAAGAGATCCTTTTAAATCTTTATGTCTTTGCATTTGTAATTTGAACTTTTATATAGTAAGATTTCTAAATTTAATATTGTTAAAATAATTTTTCCAAACTGTTTTGTTTTGTACAATTAACACCCAAAAATAACTAAATAATAATAAAAATAATTTAGTTACCTAAAAACTTATTTAATTCAACTAGGTTAGATTTTCTTTATCATTTTCGAAAATGAAAATATTCATAAAATATCTCTAATGGAATAATGGTTATGAAAACTGACATACCGATTGGTAATTCGCCTTTTGCTTGCACTTCTACACAGATTGAGAACAACCCTTTGTACTTTTGGTTCTTGTACGGGAATGACCTGGAAAAAAAATAAAAAATTATTAGTTTTTGAAATTCTAAATTTTTTTAGTAAAAAATAATACTTTTATTTTCTTTTTAATAATACTTTCAAAAAAACACGAATTTGTAAATAGATACTATCGTATAATATGAAATTTTTTATTTTGTCATTTATGTATATTCTTTGTTTTAGGGAAGGGTTTCCGGATCTCTGCAGGAAACGTTAGTTGCATTATAATATTAAACATAGGCCTCGTGTGAAGGCTTTAAAACTCGACATGGCCCTCGTAATGCACTACGTGGACCGGTTCCACGAGATTCTGGATAAAAATGCAGGTAACGTAATTTTTTTCAATCGTACTACTTTTGCTTGACACACTCATTTCACACGCTAATTCTAAATCATAGAAAATTAAATGCTTGTTTTATTTTCTTCTATAATGAAGATTTTATTTTAAATTCACCTTCATTCATTTTTTCCTATCTTAATAATAAGGGTAATTTAATATTACTCATAAAAATAAAAGCAAACATAATTTCATTGGCAAGTCTAAATTCTTTTTTTTATAAATTTTTTTTTAACATTAATAGCAAAATTGAATTACTATGTATTTTTAATTTACTATACAGTATATTGTAATTTTAACAAAATGTCTTTAAAAATTAATGAAAAATGCTACTATTTTATTTCGAAATAACACAACTGTATTTATTTTTATCAGTGATACTTTTTTTGTGTCTCTTTATATTCATTGCAAGTAAAGGAAAGGGAAGTCGCAATAGTTTGAAGGTAACAGAAGGTCGGTTACTCCGCGAGTGTGACCTTCCTGTTGGTTCAATAAATCTTGATCAAACTTGATTTTAAAATTATTTTATCGTCTAATTAACTGATAATGAAAATAATTTAACAATTTTCATTATATTATAATGATTTAAATCCATAAATAATATGATTATTTATAATAGTGTAAGCCGAAACTCTTTAAAAAGTAAAAATTGTATTTTTATGTAAATAATTGAATTTCAAGATTCAGTAATTAACTTTGTTTTCATTTCGAAGAGGAACATATGATTTTTGTGTGTAAAATATCCGCTTGCTTATAATATTTAATATTTTAAATATAAGATTAAAAAAAGTTAGTCCTAATGGAACCTTGTTTTAGCAATTAATTTTGTCAAAAATTACGCAAAATTCTTGCATAACATTATAGGTTTAAAATGTTTGTACTTAGATTGGACAATCTTTTTTTTCTGACGCTCAATGTCGAAAGACGGAAACTTCTTAAAATATTTAATTAAAATTCAAAGAAGTACAATCTTTTTTCTATTTATATTTAATATTTCACGTTAATAAATTGTTTTATTTTTTTAGAGTTATAATTTTTTTAATTGTAAAACGAAGTAAACACATCAAGAATATAATATAAGAATTATAAATAATTTATGTTTTAATTATTCCTTTGAAGTAATTTCAAACTTCATTTTCCTTCTCATTTATCAATAATTATTTGTTTTCGTTTGTGTGTTTATCAATATATATATATAGAAAAATAAAATATTTTTTTTCTGTTCAACTTTTAATTTTCCTACAAATTGACGTACATAATACTGATAAAAAATAAATTGCATATGAATTGTTATTTTGATAGTAAAGTTTCCATTCAGTTTGAGACTATATTTTTTTATTTTATTGCAAAACTAGATTAATAATGTGAATAATATAAAAAGCACGATTTCAAAAGAAGTTTATTATTTTGTAAATTAAGATAAATTATTATTATATTTATTACCTTGCTTTAAATGTTAATTTTTTCTTTAGACTATCAAAATCAAGATGCTAAAAATTTTTACAATGATATATTTAAGAAATGGAAAAACTGACAACAATTTACGTTTATGTTGTATCAGAAAGAGCATTGCTCTCTCTGACAAGGTCCTTTCGGATTTTTATTAACGGGTTTATCCTTGAGACTTTTTTAACAGAAGACCACACCTTGAATGGTTAAAGATCTTTATTCCTTTTATTATTATTTTCAGTGTTTTCTTTCCGTCTTTTTTTTTTTTATTTTACTCGCCCTTATAGATTTTTATTCGTTTTTACATATATAGATATAATGATTCCCAAGAAATTATTGTAAAATATAAGGGACTTCCTGTTTGAAAAAAAATGGAAAAGAAAATTGATAGGTACTTGCTTCGCATATACTAAGAAAACTGATATGCAATTGAAAATTGTTCTCAGAAAGAATTAAGAAGAGATTGTAACGAATTACAAGGTTAAGAAATAAAGTACAGGAGAAACTTTCAAGGTTTACGCAAATCATTTTGAATATGAGGGTCAAATTTTTTAACCAACGTCAAACTTCCGTTGCATAGAAATTAGGCTTTATAAAGTTGATAAAATTTTGTGAAAAATTGACAATTCAATTCAGATTTTTTGGGAAATAAATTTTTCAACCCTATTACTTGAAATACTATCAGTAAAAATATGAAAAATTTGATTTTTCTTTTACAGATTCAAGGACAACAGGTTGGTTCTTGATGAGTTCACCCTTCCCAACGTTGGCTGTATGTCTCTCATACATATACACAGTTAAAGTTCTAGGACCAAAACTAATGGAAAACAGAAAGCCATTTCAACTACAAAATGTCCTAATATTTTATAATTTATTTCAAGTCTTATTCTCAGCGTGGCTATTTTATGAGGTAGGAACAATCTTTTCATATAACTTTTTATATACACCAATAACAAAATTTCAACCATCATTTTTTAATTTTGAAACCCTAAAAGATACCATCGATTTGTGCCAAATGTCCCTGTATAATACTAAACGATTGGATTTAACAAAATAATTTCTCATCCATCTGGGCCATCAAACTACGTCTAGTAAATATTGTCAAAATAAATTTTATATATTTATAGAAAAAAAAAATTGCAAGTTTTACTGACTCGTTATACAAATCTACTTGATGCTTAAAAATCACTCGAAGAATTTATAACAGCGCAAAGATTCAGTCTATACATACAAAGAAGCCACAATTTTTCCTCTTAGATTCAAAATTTAACATTCTCAACACGTTCAATTTGTTTATGCTTGCATAATTAGATTCGCGATCAAAATTTATGAAAGATTCGAGACCAAAATTTCAAAAGAATCACAGCGCGAGTATAATTTATAATATTGATGATAAATGATCCATTGCACTGAGAAAAAGAATTACAATTGATTTTTTGATTACAACCAAAAGTTTGTTGTTAACTAAAATCTTTTTTTCTCAGTGCAACATTTGTGCAAAGTTTTTGAAACAAAATTGAAATGAAAATAGAGTGTAAAATAAAATCAAAAATATTTCAATATATTAAAAACAAAAATAATGAACAAGTTTGATGGCTCTGTTTGGTAATTGAAAAAAGTCAAAGGGCAAAATAATATATATTTTGGGGATGCAGTGCCTGATGGGCGGCTGGTGGAGACAATATAGCTTTCGCTGTCAACCAGTGGATTATACCCGCAGTCATAGTGCAATGAGGGTAAGTAAATTTGTATTCATTTCACAGGAGACGCCTTTCGACTATAATACAAGAACAACGATTCACCAACGAGATATTTACTGACGAATATCTGCCTGCACGGCTGGGACCCTAATATTGGATTGCTGTATTATTGATATATAATATTTATGATCCAGCTTCTATATTTTTTGCTCCAAAAATTGCGATCTGGATTTATGGTTTTTAATTTCTACCATTCTTTCAGCTAAATAATGATTTTGTTTGTTCGCGCATGAATTTGACAATAATTTTATTAAAAATTACATTTTCCAAATATTTTTATCTGGAAATAAAACTTTTGCAAAATAAATAAATTTTTATTTTCAATTTAAACATTACATTTAAAAAAAAATATAGTCTAGTCAGAAAAAAGTTTATTTAATAAATATTTTTAAATTTTCAACATATACAACAATGGGTTTTATAAAAATATTTTTTTCTCTCTTTTAGTGGAAGCGTGGTGCAAATTTGTTTCCAATAAAATGACTCATTAAAACTTCAATTCAGATGAATATAAAAAATTTTTTCAGATTGCAAAACATTTGTCAACTTTTGAGGTTGACACACAAATTTGTTTTGCAATTTGAAATTTTTTAAATTTATTTATCTTGTTTGTTAATTTAAAAACTATTAATGAAAATATATTGATAATATGATTGGAGTTCAATTCAGATTAAAAATTTTAAAAAGAGTTTAAATATATCTGCATTTCATTATTATTTAATTTATGAAAGGAGTAGTTCTTAATGATGTATTAATTTACTTATACATATTAGAAGATAATCAAAAAGCAATAAAACATTTCATTCACAAACTGTACAAATATTTGATTTTAGAAAATTTATTTTTTACAGTGAAGTTTTATTTCCAGATTTTGAGAAAATAACAAAATTAACAAACGAAAAAAAGTTAAAAAGTATTCATAAAAAAAATTAAATTAATTTGTTCATGCGCGAACAAATGCTGGTAACTATTTGAATGATTGGACTAACAATTTATGATAAAATATATAGCGACGTGGAAGGAGTTAAAAATGATAAATTAATTAATTTAATTACTTAAAGAAGTAGAAATTTTAATAACTTCCACTTCTCTAAATATTTTAATTAGATTTTCAAAATGTAGAATACTTATTGATACCATAATATAAGCCCTTATAATTTTTTTTTTCGCTAATTATTTCAAAAAACGTCATTTCTCATGGCAAATTTTATATTATCATTAGATTTACTTTACAATCATTTCTATGCGAATAGAGTTGTGAAAGAGATATTTCTATTTTATTGGGGTAAAATAAAATTTAGAAAATTTTTTAATTTGGAGGTGCTAATTATATGGATTCAAGGGAATATATAATAAAATTATAAATTCAAGGTTCTAAAAGAGAAATTAATGGGTCTTAAATAGAAACAAACATTCTTTTAATATTAAAATTAAATTCGTTTTTTTAACACTTGTCTAGTTTTTTTGCAGAAAAAAAAAGTTTTGTAAAAACTAGACGATTTAATAGATCTTGAAATTATGATTATTATCGGCTCATCGTTTTATTTAAAAGAATCTAGTCTAGCGATAATTCATAAATACTCTTTCTTTCTTTTTTTTAAATGATTAGAACAAAAGTTTATTATGAAACAATAAGCCACAAAACTTGATGCAACACGTTTTAACGATTATTTTTGGTCTATTGGAAAAAACGAGAACGTTAAATATAATCATACTTTGTTCGTTTCATGAGTAACGTGTAATTTATTACGTACGTTACGTTCGCACGTGAAATTCTCTTTACATCACCTCGATTCCGAAATGACCTCGTGCAGGAGACAAATACCGGTGTGTGCACATATGCACATATTAGTGTATTACATGTATACTATCACCGGAAAGAATTCTTTTTTTTTTTTGCAATATTTAGAAGACTCTTTTCATTTTGATGCATTTACACTAGAAAAAAAAAAAATTTATTTGGTTCAAATAGTTACTTAGATAATATCAAATAAATATTTATTTGGACCAAATAATTTTTATTTTAATCAATGAATAATTTCTGTATTTAAAATAAATATTTTTTAATACAAATGAAATTTTTGCCTGGGAAATGACGTTTTCTTATTACTATTCTCTCTAAACTTTATTTTTAAACAAACGGTGGTATATAAGGTTTGGTAGATGGTTGAAATGCAATAAAGTGATGGTTTATGGTTTTTTTTTTTTTTTTGACTCTGATTGGCAATGGCCTTTGGATGGTTGTGGTTGCAGATAGGAATGTCCGGATGGCTGAACGGGGAGTATTCTCTAAGGTGTCAGCCGGTAGACTACAGCGACCGACCCCAAGTACTAAGGGTGGGTTTATTCTAGTAGTGCATCTCTAAATAACTTTTTTTTACTCATGCTATTCCATCAATATTTATACGCAAATTGCATGCAATATAAACAAATAATTATATTACAAAACAAATTCAGAAAAAAAAATGAAACTCAACCCAATTTTTCATGGTTTTATGAAAAATTGAAAATTTCAGAATTATGTCAATTTAACAAAAAAAAAAAAAATTACAAATATGAGAATTTCAAAAATAGATCTCTGAAATCCTATTGTTTTTCCGTTTCTTAACGGTAATTTTAACTTTTTAATAATTTAATGAGGTTCTCATTTATGTTTCCAAATATTTTTTATTTAGATAATTTTTTAAAGCAGATGCAAAAAAATTGTTTTCTCTTTACGATCAAGAAAACAATGCATACACCCATAAATGGAACGTGCAGATTTAGTGCTTAACAACTTAATTATTTATTTAAAAAAAAAACAATTACCCAAAGTAGGAAACAGGTTAATATTTTCAAAACGGTCCAAAATAATAGTTCAATGTTCTTAAAAATTTCAAAATTAATTTTAAAAAAACCTAGTGGAGTATTTTCTAGATTATTTATGTATACAGCTGCATAATATAAATTTATAAAAACATGGAGAATAAGGAATTTTTAACTCTGATAACAGAATTATTAATATAGAACAATCTGTAGTTAGAAAAAAGTAACTAATAAATTAAAAATTGTTAAAACAATTATTCGAAGATATACTTGGGTCAAAACAATTACCTAAGAAAAAAGGATCTTGATTCATGTACTTCTCTTTTAAAACAAGAATTTTTTTTCACAATTACTACATACAATTGAAAGAGGATAACACTTTCCTGATTTTTTTTTTCTAAACATTGCAGTAGAATAATTTCTTCTAGTAACTAGGTGAAGGTATTACCATCACCCATTGTATATTAGACATCGTTAGGCATATATATAATAAAAACACACACACAAATACCACTTGTAGTTATAGAGGAGTAGACTTTTTATGCTTCATTAAATTAATAATGCAGTAAAGTAAAATGCTAAACTATATATTCATAACTATGCAACCAATTACTCTGCGATCATTTCCAAGACATACTATTAAACACTTGAAGTTCAATTCTAATTGAAAATTATTCAATGATTTCAAAATAAACCCTACACATATGTACGTATATTTACATAATATATCAACAAAGAAATTACCAATTAATCAAATATTATATTTTTGAGAATTTAAATGATGAATCAATGTTATAGAATCTAAAACAATCTAGAATTTTCTATTTGAAAAATATAATCGAAAAAAAAACGTCACATCAATGTCTTACTTTAATTAATTGTCATTATACAGATAAAAATTTTTTAACTACGTCAATCGCGAAAAAGAACTTCCTTTGTTTACCTGATTTATATGTGCAATTTAAACGCGCACAAAATCCCAAGTACCTACAGATTGATACTTTAGACGTCATTCTGTCGATTCTCGTTGATTTTAAGTCAATAGTATATGAATACCAATTGCATTTAAATGACTTGAACATTATTTACAATACTGACATTAAGTTTATAACGTAATGAGAAATTAATTTTTTATATTCGTAGAATTATCTTTTAGTTTCACTTAATTTTCTTCATTTTTTTTTTGTTTAGTTTAAAATTCCATCGATTAAAATAAAATTGAATATATGATTTTAAATGATCGTGACGTCTTTTTTTAATTTTTTTAATCGAATAGCACAAAAATGTTTTAAATATAACTTATAGTTTTCGAATTCTGACCGTCGATATGAACGCCAATTTTTCTGACTAACTCCCTAGACCTCGGAGTAAGACGTTGTCACGTCAAAAAATACAACTAAATTTTTTTTAATAAAATTTTTCAATAAATTAAAATATTTACCTTAATAACGAATTTTCAGCTTCAAGGAGATTCTTTCAAACTAAATAGCCCTCGGAGATCCCTACTTTCAAGTTAAATTTCCATTCAGAAAATGTTAAAAATAACCGTAAAAATAGACCGAGTTCTAAAAAGTCTGAATATGAAGAATTCGGTGTCCTTTTGCCCTTATCTTTGAAGTACATGACACCACAAGCCATCGAGGATAGAATCTGCAACAAGAAAATAATGATTGAAAAATATTTAGATTATTAGAATTAATTTAACATAAAGGTTTTCAATTGAAAAAAAGTCTAATTTTCAAATACATAGAAAAAAGTCTTTACTTTTATTTTCTAAAAATGTATAGTGAGTATATGTATATGAGCTTTGGAAAAATAGAAAGAGTTTGTTGCCTGTCTAAAAAGTAATAAACATTCAGACATTTTTTTCTAAAGTAGGCGTACGCCTTTTATATTTTGGATATGCTAATACAAAAGTAGTTAGACAGTTGCCTGATGCAATTAACACCACATAACATGCTGCAGTATGTATACAGAATATGAATTTTAGCTTCTCTATTTCTAGAATTTACTGACTCACGACATTATATTTGAACATTTATATAGTGAGCCTATTTTATTACTTTGCAATTTATATATTATATGAATAACCACAGTATTAGAACTATATTATTAATAACGTATATATTTTATACAATATAGTACCTGACACGACAAAAATTAGTCACGCACTTCACCTACGAAATAATGCATTTTTTTGTTATTTTATTTTCATTCATCATTTTATAAATTTTACGTTTCGAATTTTAAATTCTGATTTGGTTATTTATAGATGGTTCACGCTTGCTGGTGGTATTATTTCTCTAAATTTACTGAATTTATGGATACGGTGAGTATATCATTTTTTTCATACTAAATTCTTTTAATGTTAATAGTAATATTAATGAGTCTACTTTTATTATTATTTTATATTTATATAGTTAAAAATTATTTTTAAATTGAATTCTTTTCTCACAAAATTTAAAAATTAAGAAGGGAAAAGAATGTTGAGTCATAAAAAAAATACTTTACTTTAATAGCATACCTTCAAAATCAATTTTTGAAGGTTAAATAATAATTACAATTTCCTTGTCCCTTAAGTTGTACATTTTTTAAAAATAATAATCGTAAATTAAGCATAAAAATTTAAATTGAAATTCTCAAGATAGCAAGTATAGTATAAAAAATTATCAACTAAAAGCAAAATGCAGTAATGTTTAACAATATGGTTGAAAAAAGAGGAAGATTTTTTTTTTTAAAGAAAAGTTTCCTCATATGAACGAGTTCCTGTGAAGAAGTAACAAGCACAATAATTGCATTTGTCAATCTTCAAAAACCGGTTAATCTGAAGGGATTCGTACTTCACGTTATCAGTATAAAAAAATAATGATTGTACATTTTTTTAAAAACCGATTTTATGTGTATCCATTAAATTTAAACTTGAAACGGTCATTCTTTAAACTTGACTTTTCACATAAGCATTCACTATTTATAGTTTCTAAGTAACTTTTATATAATACTTGATATTTGTATGTACTATAATTAAGGGATTATGTAAATGAAACCTGCTTATTATTTATATTAGATAAGCAGATAAAATAAAATAAAATATAATATAGTAATAATAATTCATTGAATTAATTTGTAACAATAAAAATGTAATTTGCTTAATTTTTTAAAATTTAAATTGTCATAATATTGTTCTATGAAAATATTCTTTGATTTGCTCTTTAGTTATAAAAAAAATGACTTATGTTCAAATTTTGCAAAGTAAAATACTAATAAAATAAGGTTTTTTAAATATTTGACAATAATTGTGACTTTCAGATATTCTTCGTTTTGAGAAAGAAGAACAGCCATGTGTCCACACTTCATGTTATTCATCACGGATGTATGCCAATGTCAGTGTGGTTTGGTGTTAAATTTACTCCAGGTATTGATAATAATAATCATTATCTATTTAATCTAATTCAAATTATCAATTTTTCAATATTGTCTTTTCAAAAGCAAAGTCAAAATACCAAAGATTTTAAATATTTTAGAATGTTTGAATTCTATTTAGAATCTTTTGAGCTTAAAGAAAATTCTAATTCTCCAAAATCTGAACTGAAAATATTACAGAAACTTTTGGCTTAGTACCTAAAAAGAAATTTCTACTTCTCTAAAATTTAAAACATCAAAAATTAACTTGTATTTTCGAATTCTTACTAAAATTTCATGTTTCATTTTTTAGGTGGTCACTCAACTTTCTTCGGTCTTCTGAACACGTTTGTTCACATTATTATGTACACCTACTACCTCCTAGCCGCTTTGGGTCCTAAAGTTCAACCCTATCTTTGGTGGAAAAAATATTTAACTGCCCTACAAATGTTACAATTTGTATTCATCATGATGCATGCCTTCCAACTTCTCTTTATTGACTGCAATTATCCCAAGGCCTTTGTTTGGTGGATTGGATTACATGCAGTTATGTTTTTCTTCCTATTCAATGAATTCTATCAACAGAGTTATGCTCAAAAGAGAAATCTCAGGGCAGCTAAACTTTTAACAATGACGAGGACAACTACAACAAGTAATGGAATTGCAAATGGCAAAATTGCAAATGGCACAAGCGAAAATGGAGTTAAGAGAAAAGAGGCTGCCGATTATTATGTTAAGGGTGAAACAATTGCCGCGACTGAATTAAGTCTACGAAAACCCTACGCTTCAATTGAATGATCTCGTCACACATTTCTATTATTAGGTGACTGGAAGAAAAATTTCCGCGTCCAATTTGCGGCGGCCGAGAATCATTTATTATTAATAAAAATAAAAAAATCCTCCGCCATTTATCATCAGCTCATGGACCTAACTCGCTTTTTGCAATCGTGCCATCGGATCATCATCCAAGAAAAAGGAAACTTGGAAGAAGTTAATTGGATAATTACAGTTGACAATATAGGAACTAAAGATAGTTGAATTATTCATAACATCTTCCATCAATAAAAGATCGTGTTCCATATGGGGTGAACCCATCTCTCGGCTGTGATGAAATTGAAAACAAAACATAAACCCCCTTAAAAAAAAAAAGAAACTAGGAAATTGACTATACTATATGTAAAATCGAAGGTGCAAAAAACAAAAACCGTCCTTTTCTTCGATTTTAGATAAACCTATATATCTTATTTTGTTTTCTTTTTACTCTTTTTAATTTCCTCTAATTTTCTTTTTTCTTTTCTTCTGAGTTATCTGACTAGCGGCTCAAGGTGGCACGTTCACCATCAACTCTTGTACATAAAAAAAACAAACAATTACGAACGAAGACACAATTTCAAAGCTGAAAAATCACTTGTTTCAAATGCAGTCGAAACCAAGATTCAGACGAGCGAGAAAGAATCGAAAATGAAAATTTTTCTTCAATTTTCTTTATACATTTATATGTTATTTCAAATCGTTTCCCTCGTCTTTGTTTTAGGATAGACTCTTTTTGTACATAGATAGGTTAATTTTATACTATATATAAATAATATTGTAATGCGAATAAGTGCCTCCTATTGGAAATTAATTTTATTAAAAGGAAAAATTCTCTATTATCTTATTGTAGACTAACTTTTTGGCGTAGAATTTTTCAAGTATTTATATTATATATACTTTATATGTGAGAAAGCTTAGAGTTATTTTTTCAATGGGAAACCAAACCACACATCATTTTGTATTTTCCATATATGATCAATATGCATCAAGTGTGTGCAAAAATGGTCTTAACCCACGTTACAAATATTTAACTTTCTAATTATTATTATTATTATTATTATTTATTTAATCGTTTCTTTGTAAGGTGACAACAAATTTTTTTAAAAATCTATATAAGTTTTTTTTCAAACATTTTCAAAGGACTACGATACTTAAAGAATCATTTATTTTTGTTTCGTGAAAATTATTTTGATCCTTATATATAATATATATAATAAAACAAAAGAAATTGTATAATAAACGAATATGATGAAATTATAAAGATAAAATATTATCGAATCATTGTAGATAGTTAGCAGAAAATGTGTTTTTATTGCGAAGAATGTAACATAGTCATAATATGAAATTTCATCAATAGAGATATTAATCAATTTTAATTTGTTCTACTTAATGAAAATATTGAGTTGTTAAAAAAAGAATTTTTTTATTTGGTCGATTATTAAATTATAAACGTAAATATGAAAAAAGAAAAATTTACCAACAAACCAAGTTACATATATTTTGTTGCAAGAATTTCTTTGTAAAAGAAAACAAATTTCAGCAAATTTATAGTTCAATGTATAGATTCAAATATTTATGACAAGCGAAATTTATAACAAAGATGGATAATTTTAAACTTGTGGTTAGTGTATTTCTAAACATCTGTCTTTGTACTCTTGTATAGATTTTGTTTTTCTCTTTTTAATCCAATGTACTTAAGGAAATAATACATTATTGATATAACAATCAAATTTTCATCTAGTTGGTAGATTATTTGGATTTTATAATTATAAAATAAATATGGGTGAGTTTTTCGAATGCGAAGAATTTTTAACAATCAAGTTTTCTCATAGTTATTAATTTAAAAAAAAAAACTCTTGTTTCAAGCGGATCATTCTTTACAAAATAACAACAAAATACAAAAATTTGCATCAAACTGTGAGTTTTGACTTTTTAATTTTATCGAACAATTATATAGCAAACATATAGGATGAATTTTAAACTAAAATTTGTTTATCTAAAAGGTATTACTTGTATTATTCCTAGGAAGCCTAAGTTCATTTTGATAAAAAAATGTGATTTTTAATAGTCAAACTCAAATTGCATTTTTTTTCCTATTTTTCCAATTATAATTATAGATAAAAATGAATAATTATGTAAAAATAGTGTTCCTATTTCAGAATATAAATATTATTCCAAAAACAACAGTACAAGAAAAAAAGAATAAAGAATGATTCCGAATTATCTAAAATATATCAAAGTGTTCTATATTGTATTATGTAAAATTATTAAATCAATGTGTAATATTTATAATGTTTCTATAGAAGACGCAAAAGTATATAAAAATCGAGTGTATAAAAATACAATCCACGAATTAAATCAGAAAAAAATCCGACAATATTCATGTGTATAGAAATAAATTACAATTAGGATATAATATAATTAGTTTTGTTAATTTTAACTATATAGCAACGAAATAAGAAAGTATATCTGCAGTGGGCTTCCTAGAATTCAATGAGAGAAACATATTGTCTTTTTGCGATAACTATGCGATTCTAATAAAAATAAAAAAAAATGTCTCAACACACGATTTTTGGAAAATAAATAGAATAATATTGCATTTAGAAATCAAGTCTTATTTTTATACAATTCACTATAAGAACATTAAAACCCGAAAATACCCATATATTTTATTTGAATTTAAAAAATAGTTTCTTTAAATAAAATAAAATTTCCGAGTGCAGAACGAATTAAAATATATAAATTGGAATTCAAATCGTGAAACAGATTGAAGAGCCCTCTCGAGTGTTGACTGTGGAACTATATATGGCGGGAATTACAATTTAAGTAACGAAAAAGTTCTAAGATAGAATTCTACATTAAAATGGTTTATTTTCCGAATTAAAGAGCAAATAAATTTCATATGGTTACAGAGAAAAATGGTACAAAAACTGAGAAAAATTCTGCTTGTATAAAATGAAAATAAATCTAACCTAAACCAAAAAATGTAGATTTCCCTAAAGATACCAACCTAGTTTGTAATATTTTTTATACAACCTACTAAAAAAAACCCCGTTTTTTAATTTCAAAAAATCTGTTTTAAATATTTAAAAATTCCAATTTAGTTACTCATAAAGTAGCTTTATAAAAAAAACTACAATTTTCACAATCATATACACGATAATTCTAAATTTAGGTTCAAAGCGATAAAAACGAAAAACAATTTTAATATCAGAGAACATTTTTTTAAATTCTTTAATGTATTCTTCTGATTAATGAAGCAATGATCTTTAAGTTTCTCTCCTCTTTATATCTTTATAAAATACGATTTTAAATTGTACACGTTCAATTTTAGGGGCGAATTGACGCATGCGTCTGAGAACCTAGAGACAATGGATTGTGTGTGTGCACGGTAGGTACAACAGAAAATACACTGTCAAACGAGTTGAAAAACGGAGTTGATCTGTCTCTGTCGTTGTAGCAGAGTGTGTGCGAATGGCTACATGTCAAAAACGATAATCATTCATAGAGTGTGTGTGTTATAATACAAGGAGAAACAATTTTAATATTCCCATAAGTCTGTGAAATCAGATTTTTTTTATTTAAAAACCAAGATGTTGGCCTTAATCAATCGCATCTTGGACTGGTTTAAGTCTCTCTTCTGGAAGGAAGAAATGGAACTTACACTCGTCGGCCTCCAATACAGCGGAAAAACCACTTTCGTTAATGTTATAGCGGTAGGAGAAAATATCCTCTACACCTTTATATTTCTTTGTATAACTACTAACTTCTTTTTGTATTTTTAATCTTATCTCTAACCTTGAAAGTTAAAAAATAAAACTGCAATTTTGAAACAATCCTTTCACTATAACAGAATATCGATATATGTATATATACACATGTCAAAATCTTTTTTTTCAAGCATTTTACTTGGTTATGTTACTGAGAACATTGCGGCCCCTCCCCCGATTAAATTTAATTTTACTATTTCAATATTTTCCATTGGAAATATATTTATGTTTTACTTTTGAATTCAAACAACAATCATAAAAAGAATTTCCACCCCTTTTTGTTATATCTTTTCTTTTGAATTTTACTTTTGTACGCGTTCACACTATTGTAAAATTTGATCAATTGTTGGTTTTACATATTGTTACAAGTTTTAATAACATTTAAATATTACCTAAAGAAAAATCCAATTTTAAGAAATTAGTCTAAATTGTACTGAATTGAAAAATAATTTCAAAAATTCAATTCTTGTATTTCATTTTTTTAAATTATGAAATTATATAAGAATGCAATTGTTGTTTTTAATATTCAGTCGTATTTTTGTATTATCAACTCGTAAACTTCAAAGCTGATAAGATTCACGGATAAATATTTATAATATTTAAAAAAATATATATATAATATTTTACTTTACAAAGTAAAAATGAGATTTTGTTTATGTGTAATCACAAAAGAAAGGGAGAAAAAAAAATTGCAAGTAATTGTAACTGAGATAAAGTATCATATGAGTATTATTTTAAAATGATTTCCTTTCAGTCGGGTCAATTTAGTGAAGATATGATACCAACTGTGGGTTTCAATATGCGCAAGATAACAAAAGGCAATGTTACAATAAAAGTATGGGACATTGGTGGACAACCAAGATTTAGATCAATGTGGGAACGATATTGTAGAGGAGTTAATGCCATTGTTTATATGGTGGATGCTGCAGACTCTGAGAAAATTGAAGCTAGCAGAAATGAATTGCACAATCTTTTAGATAAACCACAATTATCAGGAATCCCTGTGCTTGTTCTTGGCAACAAAAGAGATTTACCTCATGCCTTGGATGAAAATGGACTCATAGAAAGAATGTAAGTTGCCATATGAATTTTAAAAATTATATTTAGATTCATCAAAAAAAAAAAATTTGCTTTGGTTACGGAAACTAAACTATTTTGCTGAGTTAATTAATTCACATTTTTATGCCACGAGTTGAAATGAAAAAAAAAATGATGATTGGTGAAAATTTGTTTCAATCTTTTTGTTTTTTCAACAAGACCTTAAAGCAAAAAAATTTTATGCAATATTTTTATGTAATTAAATCAAAATGATTCAATTTACAGAATAAATTGAAAAAAAAATTTTAAATTGGTAATCAAATTTAGTAACGTATTTTTTAAAAAAAAATTCATATTTCAGGAATCTGTCCGCAATTCAAGATCGTGAAATTTGTTGCTACAGTATTTCGTGCAAAGAAAAGGACAATATTGATATAACGTTGCAATGGCTTATAGCACACTCAAAGGGTGGAGTTCGCTAATACTAAGTGTCAATCTAATCGTTATTATAAACGAAAGAAAATTCGCAACAAAAGAAACCGAATTAGAATCAATGATATCAATGAACAGTCATTGGATTTCTGTTTCAAGATCAAGTCATTAAAGTAGCGAATCACATAATTTTTAAGCTTTATCCGTTCTGATTATGAGCGTGAGAGTGGAAAAAAAATAATAATAATTACAAGAATGAAATAATACCAATGCAAGACAAGTGTGTATATCACCGAATATATATGAGAGGTAGATTTTAAGAACTTTTTTTACATTTCTTTTTTGTTTTTTCTTTTTTTAAACTTTACAATTTATAGAAATCGATAATTTCAGTTTTTTTGTCACTATAGAGAAATATATATATATTTAAAATACGCAGTGTAAATGCGAATTTCATTCTTAATGAGAGAATGTCGCGATTTTTTGAAATTCATGAATAGAAAAACAAAAAAAATATATATATATATATTAATGGCAACAATTCGCTCTGCATAAACACGAGAATAATTAGCTAAACTATGTAATAATGTATTTGGAATAAGCAACTGTAGTTTATAATGAATTATCACAATTCACAAAAAAAAAAAAAACAATTAGTGCGATGTTACGTTATGTATGTATATATTTATAACTGTATCATATATGCAAAATATTTTGTATATATACAGGGTTTTTTTTCCGATGGCGAATCCTTGCCTCTGTTACCGTAAAATACCGATATACTAAGGAAGAATTTATACAAAAAAAAATATAATTTACCGAACATTTGGAAATGATAAAACCAATAAACAATTAACGATAATTTAATAATATTCAAAAATAATGATGACCTCGTTAAAATTTTTCCTTAGTATTTTTGAGTATATATTTTTTCCAGTGATTAGCTACTGTGTCTATAGAGGAAAGTGTTCAAAAGATTGCCTTCCTAGACTCTTACGCATTTTACCAAAAAGAAAACAAAAGAAAGAAAAAAGCAACTAAAATGACACTAAAAAAGCCTTTTTGTCGACTGTTAAATCAGTGAAAATGTATTTTCAAAATGATACTGTGAATAGAATTTAAGAGAGCGTTATATTACCACGTATAAAAAAAATAAATAGGTGAGGATAGAACGCTTTTTCGAAAATGCTATATTTAATTTAATCAAATCTTGTATTTCTAGTGGTAACAGTTACTGTTTATGTTGCGCGCCATTAGATATACGCCCTGTACATATATTTAAAAAAAAAAATAACAATAATAATAAATTGCTTAGTCTCTTTTTTCAAAATGGAAGTGTATCATGATAAACTTCTTAATATTTAAGAACAATGTTCCCACATATGAATCATGTTTAAAGTGTTTTTTTTTGTGTGTGTTGAGCAGATGTGTATTTGAAAATAAATTATGAAATCTTTATATATATATATGAAAAAAAAATTATATTCAGAAACAAAAGAGCTGACTTGTATAATCTCGTGAATAAAACATTTGATTTAATTTAAAATAACAGCTGCTAAAATATCTATTACTCGCAAAAAAGATAATAGATATTGTATATATATTTATATCTTAAGACTGAAGATGTGTTATTTAAATTAATTTGAAAATGCAAATTTAATTTTTCTCTACTGGAAAATCTTTATTTAACTATAATTATAACTAATTTTCAATATTTAACAAAAACTCTTAAATTTTTAATAAAATTTCTTTGAAATTGAAAATTAAAATTTGTATATTGTATTTTTTTTAAATTTTTTTTGAAGTAGATAATTGTAAATGGAAATATGGACTACGGGCCTGAGAAGAAAGCAAATGAACGAATTTCATTGGTTATTGATTGAGAGATACTAATTTTAATTGGTGGTAAACTTTTGTCGATAGGGCAGAGGTCTGACATATTCTAAGAGTAATTGTGGCGCTAAAATTTAATTTTGGTAAAGAATTAAATATTTCCCCCCCTTTTTAATTGCATACTGTTAAGTATTTTGCATTTTAAACTACAATAGTAATAATAAGAAATGTTTCTTTCAATTTCAACAACTTTGTATAAATAAGTTAAAATATAAATAATATCAAATTGTATGTTTAATTATTAGAAAAAGAGTACTTACCAATTGCACCATTGAAAATTTCCCTTCAAACTTCACAACCTTTTTTTGTAGACTGCATTCTAGTCTTCTTGATGGCACTTTAAAAATTAACTTCTACACTTCCTGTTATAAACAAACAGAAAAAAAAACCAAAACAATTAGGATTTATGAATTTGGAAAAGTTTAATATTTAAATAATAAAAAGAAATATTTTCCCACATTAACATAATAATTATAATGAAAATAAATCATTAAAATAAATTTCTTAAAAATATTTTCAGGTGTAGAAAAAATAAAATTATATTATCGCATGTAGAAAACAAAAATTAAATTAAATCTTAAAATTTATAAACAAATCATTTGAGATATGTTTATATAAAAAAATAATCTAAATTTGTAAACATAACAATATAATTTTTTTTTATTGATAATTAAAATATGTCATTATTTTCAGCTTACATAAATTAGTTAATTATAATATAAACACATATTAATACATATTTCAATCTGTATCCGATTGAAAGGATCGTTCTTTTGCCGCTATAAGCAAATCTTTAGCTTTTTTTATTTTATAATTACAATAGAAGAATGAACCAGTCGTAACTACAGCACCTGAGCCAAAAGCGCAATTAACAGCTAAACCTGGTCTACTTGTTGCCATAAGTACTAAAACTAAACCACCTACTGTTGCCATTATACCATTAATACCACTTTCTCTAAAGCAGGGAATTTTTCGAATATCACGATCAAAAAACATGATTTCGTTTTTAATTAACAGCAAAAAATATCTGAAAAAGGAAAAATTTCTTTATTCCTGGAAATTTTTTATTTTTTTTTAGAAAATATGACCGATTTTTTCAGAATATAAAAAATCAATCCAAATGTTTTTAATTTCACTTTAATTATTTCAGAAGACACTCATTTTCTTTTAAATATTTATTTTCATTAAATTTGTGTAATTATTGATTTAGAATTTTATTGATACAATTAATAAAATAGTTTATGTATTTTTTCATAAAAGTAGTATCATGAAGTGAGTATTAAAAATTTACTGGTCATTGTATAATTTAATAACAAAATTTTATATTGTTATAATTTATATTTAGTAAACAATAAAAATTATTAATTTAAGAAAATATTTTTAAAGAAACATTTACAAAAACATTTTTTATGTATTTATTTTAAATATTAGCTTTCATTTAAAAAAAATAAAGAAATTATCTTCTATTATTGAGAAATTTTCATTTACAAGTTAACCTAACCTATAAAAGTTAATTTTACACTTTTATTCACACTTACCAATCACAAAACGATCATGTAATTTAAATATATAATCAATATTCTTATAAAAATTAATATTACACTCCTTTCCAAAGTAATCAATAAATTTTTAATAAAGAATTAAAATATTTTGCAGAGAATTCATTGTCAAGTGTAATTTTCTTTCGTCTGCTTCCAAACAATAATCGCGCATGAGCAATGATGCTGCGATGCATTTTTGGCGAAAAAATTTAAAATAGAAAAAAAATTAATTTTGTAAAATAAATCACCGATAGCTAAATTTGACAATAACGGATAAATAAAATTAAATACAATTTTAGTTTAGAAATGTTTAAAACATTAACAGTTGTCATTAGTCTAAAAAAATTGTAATCACTAGCAAAACCCCTACATATGATCTATTTCCCGACAATGATGTATAAACAATCACTATCCATTTTTCTATAATGTTCAAATAAATATTAACTTCCTAATATTTTTAATTATTTTTTAGAAAAATGTCAATAATCGGTAAATATGATTTATATTCTAATGGCGAAATGCATGGCAATGAGGTTAATTGATACGTAAATATTTGATGTCAGTAGAGACAAATTGAATGTTCAATTATTGACATTAAATTGGGGTCATTGTCTATTAAATGTACATTTTGTTCAATTATCATCATATTAGTGTCATAATTAATAAATAAATTGAATGGAAATAATTCATTTAATCGGGTACAAAACTTTCATCATGTGCCCTCAAACTAAGTAACATGAATATAAACTGAAAAGAAAAATGTTCGACAAACGAGATAATAGTAATAATTGTCAACAATAGACAATTTTTTCTTAATCGATGAATAACTTACGTTTTTTTTCTGTATAGTTATACCAATGCAAAAAGAAACTCTATACATCGATTGAGAAAAATTTGTCATTCACGGATTTGAGAATATAAATTTCTTTATTAATATTTTATATATATATATATATATATATATATATATATATATATATATATATATATATATATATATATATATATATATATATATATATGACATCAAAACACAAAAAGGAGCTTCCCTAAAAATTATTGGTATAAATAAAGATAAATTTACATACTTTTTAAGTAATCAAATAGCAAAATCGATGTGGCGAAAATGTGCATGGGATGCACGTGTTCGACCAAGCAACAATGTGAATAATGCAGGTTATGTTACAAATGAAAAATTTTCATGATAGGAAATTATGTAAATAGGGGAAAAATATCACTTTTAGGATGAGAAAATCAATGAATAGATTAGAATATACATTGTATTAAAAAATTGCTTACCGGCATTGTTGAAGAACGGCAAGAAGGTTGGGTATAATATTTCAGCCCTTAGAATAGTTGTCATATACAACAATTGCTCTATTAAAATCGGCACAAATTCACTATACTTTACTGTATATACATAATTATAACTTTCTCGTGAAAATAAAGTAAAACACTTTGATAAATATACACTTTCGATGGAGAAATCAGAGCACGATGCATGGCCGACAAACGGCTATGACGCTGCCTACAGTGTATGGAGTGAACGTAGCTACTTAAGAAGTGCTGCCAACCATTCTAACAATGCAAATGAATTTGATATCAGTTTTCAAATTACTTTTATTTTAATTTAATACACTTTTTATAGCAAATAAAGATAAAAATAAATTAGAAATAAGATTCAATTTTTAAATTAATTCATTTATATAATTTTTCAAGTAATAGATAATACTTAAATGTTAAATACACGAGAGATAAAAAAAAGTTAAAATTCAATCATCACGTGATTATCTGCACATGCGCAGTATGTCGAAATTGCTCAATTCAAATATTTGAATTCTGTGTTTATCTATTCTTAAATATCAGGAAAATTATATTTTGCTAGTTAATTATTAATAAATTTTCTTTAAATTAAAAAATCAACTTAATATACATATTTATTATTTAATTTTATTGTTTCTATGTTTTTTAGTTTAAATTTTTTGTTTTTCTAATAATATTTAACTATTGTATATTATTATTTCAATTTGTTGTTTATTATTTTAAAAAAATATATTTTTCGAGTAAATTAACATTAATTACTAATTTAATAAGTAATATTTTACTTTTTTCATTAATTATTAATCAAATTACAAATTATTACATCAAATTTAATTAATAATAGCAAAAAAATTATTAAAAATTTTATATAATATTTAAAAAATATTTTTTTATTAAATGTTGTATATTAATATTAATTAAATAAAAATATAATTAAAATTCAAAAGTTCTTTAATTAATTTAATTAATAATTTGAAAATTGTTTGAATAAAATTAGAAATAAATATAAAACTATAATAATTTTTATTATAATTTTGAATTTAATTATAAATATGTTTATAATAATGAATTAAATTATTGAAAAATTAATAATTATAATTCAAAAAAAAAAAAAATTAAATGTAGCAAAAGGAATTGGATTTTTGAAATTTTATTGCAAATCTTATAAATGTAGAATATTATACTTTATTTTTCATATAAGTTACAAAATCTTATTGTTATATGATACAGACAATGTAGAAAGAGAAATAATCGATTTCCGTAAATGATATCCGCGTGTGTTGTGGAGAACTTTTTTTTGTGGGTCTTCGTAAGTCTTAACATAATATATATATCGGAGAGAAAGTAGT